TCATGAGGGGGGTTTTAGTTGGGGGGGGTGGTAGGGGAGGAAGAGAGGGAAAAGAGAACTGGGATTGTCAGGTAAATCAATCTTGTTTCTAATTCAAATAAAAAATGATAAAAAATTCACATTGATTACATAACTCTAGAGTTCTACCTTACATAGTATTCTAACTTATAAATAAAGGTAGCAGGTCAGAAATTTGAGTCTAGATTTGAATGTTTGGAAGATAAGAAAAAAAAGAAAAAAAGAAAAACAATTGTGATGGGGAATGTACTGTGTATGTTTATCTTATTGATTATTGAATAAAGTACTTGTTTGGCCAATGAGACAGCAAGTTAGATGCGACTAAGAGTTAAAGAGGATTCTGGGAAATGTAGTAGAGAAATGGTGATCCAGGCAGGAAGTGACATAGCAAGGTGACTCATATTTAAGCAAGGAGAAACAGGACGTGTCCCCCTTTTCCCCCTCTGCTCCTCCTCCAGCGGTGCAATGTGATCCACCAGCAAGGGAGGGTGCCATTGGAAGGCATCCTCTATAAGATAAGTCTTATAAAATATATAGATTTATGATAATTGAGACTGAGCTAACAGATGACAATCCTAGTCATTGGCCAAGCAGCATTGTACCTAATACAAGTCTCTTTGTGCATTAATTGAGGCCCTAACTCAGGCGGGCAGCTGGCATAGAGCGCACACGTGGTGGTGGGGCTCGGCAGCTTATGGCCAAAAGATTTATCTTAACACAGGTGAGTCAACATCACTGAGTGATAGAAAATGTTCATAAGTTCATAGAAGCATTTTTGTATACATGGTCCATTGCTGGCTGAAATGTTGATATGCAGCACATCATTATATCTGGGAACTGGGATATTATTTAGAATGGTACATAAATGTATAATTCATCATATTCAGAAATGAGACCACAGAGAAAATGGAGATGGAGAAAGTATAGGCCTGGGTATCATCTTCATGAAACGCCAATGTTTAGAAGTTGAGAATTTAAGACAGAATCAGAAAAGCACTCTTAGGAACAGTCAGTAAGGCATAACAAGAAAAAGGACCAGTGTTCTCCCTAAAGGCAAATGATGAAAGTACATCTAACTGATCGACAATGTTACAAGCCACTGATAAGAGTGGAAAATGGCTCCTGACATATCAGATTAATTATTACACACATTAAGTCTACAAAGAAGACAGCTGCTGTCATGATCTTGCTGTCAGTGAGAAAGAATTCATCAAAGTCTTTAAGCAACTGCCCACATCTTCCTACAAGCGAGATCCATTTTTGCAAAGTCTCATATCTCTTCCTCAACATAACCTTGTATGATTTCCTTTTTGTTTGTTTGTTTTTTTGTTTTTCGAGACAGGGTTTCTCTGTGTAGCTTTGGAGCCTATCCTGGCACTCGCTCTGGAGACCAGGCTGACCTCGAACTCACAGAGCTCTGCCTGCCTCTGCCTCCTGAGTGCTGGGATTAAAGACGTATGCCACCAACACCCGGCAACCTTATATGATTTCTTAACCTCAGCTTACTTCTGTCAAGGTACCATTTACCCAAAAGAGGAAAAGATAAACATTTGGTTCACCCAAACATGCATGAAATTTTGCCATAGCACATTTATATCTTTTTATTCAATAATCTGCCTATTGTGTGTCATAAAAGATTTTGAAAACCATGAGAGACATCGTCTAGAGAGACTTTTTTAAAAGTATAGTTGCATGGTGGACAGTAAAATGATTTCTGAATCCTCTGAGAAACATACTATATACCATGGGAAAAGAAAGCAAGAGACACTACCTGGAGGGAACTGGGAAACCAATGAAAAACTTTTTTAAACCAAGGAGCAATGTGACAACCCTCCTAGGAGACTAGCAATGGGGCAAGCGCAGGATAGAAGGACACTAGAGTAGTAGAAAGTAAAAACAGTGAAGGTCTGCAGAAAGGCAGAGAACCCAGTGGAAGGGAGATTCAATAGACAAGCAATTGGTTGGCAGAAAGAAGGAAAAAGAAATATGGAACAAACCAGTTAATTCTGCTGACTTTGCAGAATAGGAATAAGCTCCTAAGGAATAAAAAAGTGGGGAGGATTACTTTTTAACTATGTTGAGTTTTTGAAATGCTAGCCATTCCATAATCACCCATTGGACAATATGTCTGGACCTGTGGGAAGAAAATATCTTGGATATAGAGATGTAGGATTTACTAGATGGTCAGGTAGATTAGTTCTTATTGCACTGTATGTAACTGATAATAAATATGGACAGAGGGCACAACACTAAAAAATTCCAACATTTAAGTCATGGCTAGGCCAAGCATGGTGGTATATGACCTTAATTCCAGCACTTGGGAGGCAGAGACAGGCAGATGTCTGAGTTTGAAGCCAGCTTGTTCTGCATAGTGAGTTTCAAGCCATCCAAGGCTACATAGTGAGACCCTGTGTCGAAAGAAATAAAGAAGGAAAGGAGGGAGGGAGGGAGGGAGGGAGGGAGG